GGACAAAAATTAAACCCTAAAAGCTTAAAAACTATAATTAATTTTGAAATATACTATGGACACAAGTTAATTTTCCCTTTGATGAAGTGAAATTGAAGTAAACATGTCCCACTCGTGTTTTGGGTCATAGCAAAAGGAAAGATGCATTTGTTTGAGTCATTTATGACAAACTCCACAACCCTAAGACAAGGGTTTTTGAAATTCAAATACACATATACAAGAAGGAGAAAGATTTAGGGTTAGAAAAATACAACATGGTCCTTTCCCGATCCATCGGTTCATAATGCAAAATTCTAAACTACTTTCTTTGTCTTTACGTGGAAAAAATGGCTTTGCCATGCACTAAGGAAACCCATGTTTCGATGTCACAATGTGTAGGGTTTCTTCTAATTATTCACAACTGAATGCACGTTCCATTTTTGTCCTAGGTCTCATATTTTGTGTGTACATTGGTAAAGGACAAATATGTCACTTTCGCTTCAAGTGAAACGCTCCTTCCAATTCAAAATAGATGATCTTGTGCCAACTTGTGCTAGGGTTTAGGGTTGTCAATTCATGCCCCTCCAATATTTTGAATTCATTTATCTATGAACATTATGGGGTTGATTAAATTATTTACGTAACTTGATTAATTATAATCACGTGGAGATAAACTAATTTGAAATTGATTAGTGTTCTGCATAGCTCAAACTTGATGTTGAAAATATATTGGGCCTGTGTTTTTGAATTTGAGCCCACCACAGTCCAATATCTGTTCTGGGGCGAGAGGAAAAATTGAGTATTCTAGGGTGAAGGGGTAATTTAGGAAAAAAGTATTACATTTGCTCACTTGAGAATAATCTTATAAAAAACATAGCTAATAAATATATCAAAAAATAGTATTTGTGAAAATGTCATTGTTTAAAAAATAAAAATAAAAATCCCAACTTCATATTTAGGGAAACTACAAGATTTATTTACACTACATATTCCTTGCTATTAATTCACCAAACAATTATGATAAAAAATTGTAATTAGGAATAGTCTATTAGGTATTAATTAATATTTTTCAATAAAGTTTTGCATATTTATCATAGAATGATGAAAACTTCTTACAGATCTCTTAAGTGTTAAAAAAAATAAAAAATCAGAAGAAAATATATATTTAAGAGTAAAATAACATTAAAATGGATGAATATTATTATTTAATTAGAATATAATTACAAAATTATTTATACAATTATATTTGGGTTGTTACAAAATTTATTAATAAGAGAATAATTTTATAAAATAACACCATTTTTATACCTTTTATTATTTTTTCCCATATATAAAAGAAATGTAAATATGATTTTTATAATAAAAATAATATTTATTTTCACTTTCTTTATTACTAAACAAGAAAAATTATTACTTTTCGTTAATTTTTTTATATTTATATTTTTTTCTCTATACTTTCCAATCAAATAGAACTTTGTTAGTAATATCCATAAAAATATTATTTCAAAGGATTGAATTAAAAGAAAAAAATGAAATTTTATTTATTATTATTTTAATATAATTTATATATTTTTTAATTATTTATTATTATATTAATAAAAGAATAAAATATATTATTACATTTTTTAATCGATTTTGTCCATTTTATTTGTTTTTTTTTTAAATCATCACGGAATTATTATAATAAATATTTATTTTAATTTATTGTATTTTTATGTTAAAATACGCAAATTATTATATATTTTCGCTCATAAACTTCATAGTTATAAAAAAACAGATGGGAGATATTGATATTGATTAATCATTTAAGATTATAACATTTATTTAAGAGATTCTCAATTGAGAATGTTATTAGTTAAAAGATAAACCAAACATGAAAATTAATTATTCTCAATTTTAATTTTATAGAAAACTAAAAAGAACTTACATGGAATATTAATCTTTCTTTAATTTATAGCATGTTTATTTTAAATTTGTTTAGATATATTAAAATGTTTAATCATATTTTTAGTGTTTTAAATTTAAAATAAAATTGTTTTTGTCTTTAAAATGAAAACAAAATCATTTTAGTTTTTTCAAATATATAAAAATACGTTTTTTAAGTCACAACTTTTCATTTGCCTTAAGTATTGTTCCTCACCATTGATTAAATATGTATCTTTTTCTTAAGTTTGGAACAAAATTTCAATTTGAAAGAATAAATTATTTTTATTGTAAATTTCAGAAGATTAATAACATAATTAAACTATTTAAAAAAGATAGATTCTTTTTAAGAAAATAAGAGATTTATTCTTAATATTTATCATTATATTTTTATAATTTAATAATTGAGCTAGTTAATTAAATTTTATAAAATTGAATATTAAAGATGACGAACAAAGTTGAGTTCATCTTCTCATTTAAAAATATTAAAAAAATAAATATATTTTACTAAAAAATATAGTTATTTTATACTTTTGAAATTATAAAATTTAAAAACCATTACTATTTAATAGTTCTTCAGTTTCATCTTCCTCCTTGGTGCAGAATCCCTTGTTTCTTTCCACCGTGTGCCCTAGCCGCGCCGTTCTACCCTCACCGTGCGGTGACGAGGTGCCCTCATCAACCACCGCTACGAGTTTTGAAGCAACGCTGTCATTGGAATCACAAACATGTCTTCTTCTGTGTCACAAACCGAAGAAGAAGCTTCAATTCGAAAACTAACAAAAGGACCAACACTGTGTGAAGAGTGCAAATCGAACCCGTGGAAATATACGTGTCCCGGTTGCTCCTTACACTCGTGCAGTCTTCCTTGCGTGAAATCTCACAAAGAGCGAACTGGGTGCAGTGGAAAGAGGGACCAGACACAGTTTGTTCCTATTTCGATGTTTGATGACAATGTCCTCTTATCAGGTAGCCTGTCTTTGAATGTTGATAACCTTTTGTTTCTACTTGATTGCATAAGCACAATATTACCGTTTTACTTCTTATTGTCCTTCGAGTGACCGAAACGATCCTTTGAGCGAGACAACACATTTTGTGCTAAATAGAAAATTAGTTGAAGTAGCCTTCGATTATATTTGGTAAACAATATTACGTCTAGTTATGCGAATACTTCTTCAGCTATTGATGAATTTCACGTGAGTTGTTATTCTTGATTTATTTGTATGCGGGATTCTTTGTTTTTTTTTTTTTTTATCCTTTTGGATTTTACATGTTATGTAGGATATGAAATTTCATTAACGGGTACACCAGCTCATGTATTTTTTGTTGGTGAATTATTCTAAAATCCCTATGAATAATCTATTTGTTTATTTTGTAATGTCCTTTGGTTAGATTATAATTTGCTGGAGGAGGTGAAGAGGGTGGCTGAATCTGCTCACCGAATGAGAACTAAATTAGGCATTCATTCGTATTTTAAGTTACCTCGTCAACTTAGAAGCCTAAAGAGTGCTGCTGGAAGCAGGAGAACCAAACTGATGTTTCTGCCAAATGGAATGTCGAAAAGAGAGAAAAACCAGTCAAGATATGATCAAAGGTATTTTTCCTCGTTTTATAATAACTAGCTTCTGTTGCTTTAGGAGGATTGTGCATGCAAACCTTTTCCTCCTTTTGTACTTGCTCATTACTGTTTCCTTGTTTAATTTTGATCTTTTAGTGTATATGATATATGCAATCTGTAGTATACGAAGTGGATGTTTGGGAGTCTGATTATAAGTTTTTTATCAAATTGTGATGATTTCATTTCTAAGTCAGTGTAAGAGGGAGATCTAGATTATGAATGTATTCTGATTGTTGTGAAGTTGATAGTTTTTTTTTGTTTCATACAATGCTTTCAGGAAGAAGTTTATATCTTGGACAATTGAATGGCGTTTTCACTCAACAGATATTGTCTTACATGACCATGGGTGAGTAACATTAATGATGGCTTTGATTTATAATACAAAATGTTGTACCTTACATTCCTATTGAATGCTTGAAGTCCAAAAATGCAAAATATTGAAATAATATTGTGTTGATGTTTTCTAGAGTTGATGAAAATACAAGCTTTTACTCCATTCTAGAGAAGCACCTCAAACCTGGTCCTTGGAATAATCAGCTAAGGCCATTTTGTGAAGTCCAGCAGGATTCTCTAAAGCTTTTCATTCGTAAATACCCGAAGGTGGTTTTCTTCACCTTTTTATATGGTTGAAATTCAATATACCACTGAGCTTGTAGACTTGTAGGATCTCATTGACTGAACACATCAAGTTATGATTTTATTGTCTTATTAACTCTATCATGTTCATGCATATACAGGGTCCCAAATCACCTTTCAAAGAGTTAGATATAAAACTACCAATCAGAAAGCAGTTAGCAAATATAGTCATTTTGGAGTTTCCTGTTGTTTTTGTTTTCTTGCCGTCTCACAGAATCAATTTTGAAGTTATTAAGGATGTCAATACTAGCAAGGATAAATCACCACAGAAAGATAGTGAAGAAAACCAAATCCCGCAAGGGTTATCATTTAAGGAGGAGGTGATAGAAGATGACAACAACTCTGTAGATCCTCCGGTTTTTGATATCATGAAGCAAGTGGAATCAAGTTTATCACATGAAGTGATGGCCCAAAATATGAGTTCTGAGATAGCACCAAATGATTACTCTGATAAGTCTGTGTTTGAAGGGGACACAGTGGGTAATCTTTCACATTCTTTGACGGAAACCAAGAAATTAAAGTTATATGAAGATATGGAATTTGACTTTGATCAAGATTTGATGGATTTCTATACGGACATTTTGGATCAAACAAATCCTGATGATCTTTTTGATTTTGATAGTGAATTTGCCAAGAAAACACAAAATAAAATAGATTTGATTGGTGCTAGTGAATTATTCCCATTGCCAGATGAATTGGAGGAAGGGGAAATCCAAGAATAATTGGTAGCTATTATTCACTTCTGTTGAATAATTGGAGAGAAAATGAGAAAACATTCATAGCACCGATGGTACAAGTCTAGTGTTTCCAATAATTTTGAAGCCGAGTTTCCAGTTGTGTGGACATGATTGAAAAGATCATACTTTCCTTCATCTTGAGCCTGGCAGAGAAGATTACTAGATTTTTGTGATAATTCCTCAGCATAAGGAATGTCAGTAATTTTCATTTTGGCTACAGCATGAGAACTCAGACACAGCACAAAAGTTGTGGTATTGATTGCTTTTCTCATCACTTAAAGGGCAAATTTTGGCATAGGATCACTTTTGTTTGTTAACCTACTTTTATGGAGGAATTGATTTCAAATGAATAGATATTTTTTCCAGTCTTTGTGTTTCTCTGTTGGCTGTTTCACCTCTTAAGGTATAATGCTATCATACATCATGCATACTTTTAATACATTGTCAAAAACATGATGTATAGAACAAGTGGTACCCCACCTTTTTTACTGGAATACTGGGTGATCCTGTAAGTTTAGCATTGATGGTCTGTTGAACTTATTAAATGCGAACACTGGTTTCAGTGTGAGATATTTTATCATTGGTCGAAATTTTATAGAAATCACAATTTTATTGATGTTATTTCTTATTTGATAAATCTTATGCATAATTTTGTATTTTTAAATCAAATTTAACAAATACTAGAGTGTGTTAAAATGTGTATTACAAATTAAGCTTCGCACAAAAAACAAAAAAATAAGGAAGAAATAACTTGTAAGTTATAAATGAGAGAGTCATTTTACAGTTAAAGACATTTAACTTAAAATATATTTTTACCATATCATATTACTCTTAATTTCAAGTTTTGCAGTAAACTCTTGTAAGAACTTACATCTTTAAGAAAAAAATTATTTCTTTATATTAAAGATGTTCTTGTGTGGTGATTGAAACACCTACCAAAATTAAATATATTATTAAATAATTATATGTATAAATAATTATAATAATAATTATTATTATTAGAAAGTGTAAGATAAATAATTCTTAAAATAAGATAAAATTATTATAAAATAATTATTATTTAAAATAAAAACAACTAATACGAGACATATATATATATATATATATTTTTTTTTTAAATTATATTAAAAAGTTTTGATGTTAATTTTTTTAAAATCTAAAAATTCTAACCAAATTTTTTAGTTTTACCAATTTTATTTTGATTAAATTAAAATTTAATTATTTAAAAAAGACGAACTAATTTTTAAACTCAAGGAAAATGATACTTTGATAACCCAAATACATACAATTTTTATAAATAACTCTTTTTTAATATTATAATAATAGTTTTACTTTATTTTTATTTTTATTAAATCATTTTATAAATTATTATATTAATAAAAGTAAGTTGGTATTATAATAAATCTGTGTCACAAACCGAAGAAGAAGCTTCAATTCGAAAACTAACAAAAGGACCAACACTGTGTGAAGAGTGCAAATCGAACCCGTGGAAATATACGTGTCCCGGTTGCTCCTTACACTCGTGCAGTCTTCCTTGCGTGAAATCTCACAAAGAGCGAACTGGGTGCAGTGGAAAGAGGGACCAGACACAGTTTGTTCCTATTTCGATGTTTGATGACAATGTCCTCTTATCAGGTAGCCTGTCTTTGAATGTTGATAACCTTTTGTTTCTACTTGATTGCATAAGCACAATATTACCGTTTTACTTCTTATTGTCCTTCGAGTGACCGAAACGATCCTTTGAGCGAGACAACACATTTTGTGCTAAATAGAAAATTAGTTGAAGTAGCCTTCGATTATATTTGGTAAACAATATTACGTCTAGTTATGCGAATACTTCTTCAGCTATTGATGAATTTCACGTGAGTTGTTATTCTTGATTTATTTGTATGCGGGATTCTTTGTTTTTTTTTTTTTTTATCCTTTTGGATTTTACATGTTATGTAGGATATGAAATTTCATTAACGGGTACACCAGCTCATGTATTTTTTGTTGGTGAATTATTCTAAAATCCCTATGAATAATCTATTTGTTTATTTTGTAATGTCCTTTGGTTAGATTATAATTTGCTGGAGGAGGTGAAGAGGGTGGCTGAATCTGCTCACCGAATGAGAACTAAATTAGGCATTCATTCGTATTTTAAGTTACCTCGTCAACTTAGAAGCCTAAAGAGTGCTGCTGGAAGCAGGAGAACCAAACTGATGTTTCTGCCAAATGGAATGTCGAAAAGAGAGAAAAACCAGTCAAGATATGATCAAAGGTATTTTTCCTCGTTTTATAATAACTAGCTTCTGTTGCTTTAGGAGGATTGTGCATGCAAACCTTTTCCTCCTTTTGTACTTGCTCATTACTGTTTCCTTGTTTAATTTTGATCTTTTAGTGTATATGATATATGCAATCTGTAGTATACGAAGTGGATGTTTGGGAGTCTGATTATAAGTTTTTTATCAAATTGTGATGATTTCATTTCTAAGTCAGTGTAAGAGGGAGATCTAGATTATGAATGTATTCTGATTGTTGTGAAGTTGATAGTTTTTTTTTGTTTCATACAATGCTTTCAGGAAGAAGTTTATATCTTGGACAATTGAATGGCGTTTTCACTCAACAGATATTGTCTTACATGACCATGGGTGAGTAACATTAATGATGGCTTTGATTTATAATACAAAATGTTGTACCTTACATTCCTATTGAATGCTTGAAGTCCAAAAATGCAAAATATTGAAATAATATTGTGTTGATGTTTTCTAGAGTTGATGAAAATACAAGCTTTTACTCCATTCTAGAGAAGCACCTCAAACCTGGTCCTTGGAATAATCAGCTAAGGCCATTTTGTGAAGTCCAGCAGGATTCTCTAAAGCTTTTCATTCGTAAATACCCGAAGGTGGTTTTCTTCACCTTTTTATATGGTTGAAATTCAATATACCACTGAGCTTGTAGACTTGTAGGATCTCATTGACTGAACACATCAAGTTATGATTTTATTGTCTTATTAACTCTATCATGTTCATGCATATACAGGGTCCCAAATCACCTTTCAAAGAGTTAGATATAAAACTACCAATCAGAAAGCAGTTAGCAAATATAGTCATTTTGGAGTTTCCTGTTGTTTTTGTTTTCTTGCCGTCTCACAGAATCAATTTTGAAGTTATTAAGGATGTCAATACTAGCAAGGATAAATCACCACAGAAAGATAGTGAAGAAAACCAAATCCCGCAAGGGTTATCATTTAAGGAGGAGGTGATAGAAGATGACAACAACTCTGTAGATCCTCCGGTTTTTGATATCATGAAGCAAGTGGAATCAAGTTTATCACATGAAGTGATGGCCCAAAATATGAGTTCTGAGATAGCACCAAATGATTACTCTGATAAGTCTGTGTTTGAAGGGGACACAGTGGGTAATCTTTCACATTCTTTGACGGAAACCAAGAAATTAAAGTTATATGAAGATATGGAATTTGACTTTGATCAAGATTTGATGGATTTCTATACGGACATTTTGGATCAAACAAATCCTGATGATCTTTTTGATTTTGATAGTGAATTTGCCAAGAAAACACAAAATAAAATAGATTTGATTGGTGCTAGTGAATTATTCCCATTGCCAGATGAATTGGAGGAAGGGGAAATCCAAGAATAATTGGTAGCTATTATTCACTTCTGTTGAATAATTGGAGAGAAAATGAGAAAACATTCATAGCACCGATGGTACAAGTCTAGTGTTTCCAATAATTTTGAAGCCGAGTTTCCAGTTGTGTGGACATGATTGAAAAGATCATACTTTCCTTCATCTTGAGCCTGGCAGAGAAGATTACTAGATTTTTGTGATAATTCCTCAGCATAAGGAATGTCAGTAATTTTCATTTTGGCTACAGCATGAGAACTCAGACACAGCACAAAAGTTGTGGTATTGATTGCTTTTCTCATCACTTAAAGGGCAAATTTTGGCATAGGATCACTTTTGTTTGTTAACCTACTTTTATGGAGGAATTGATTTCAAATGAATAGATATTTTTTCCAGTCTTTGTGTTTCTCTGTTGGCTGTTTCACCTCTTAAGGTATAATGCTATCATACATCATGCATACTTTTAATACATTGTCAAAAACATGATGTATAGAACAAGTGGTACCCCACCTTTTTTACTGGAATACTGGGTGATCCTGTAAGTTTAGCATTGATGGTCTGTTGAACTTATTAAATGCGAACACTGGTTTCAGTGTGAGATATTTTATCATTGGTCGAAATTTTATAGAAATCACAATTTTATTGATGTTATTTCTTATTTGATAAATCTTATGCATAATTTTGTATTTTTAAATCAAATTTAACAAATACTAGAGTGTGTTAAAATGTGTATTACAAATTAAGCTTCGCACAAAAAACAAAAAAATAAGGAAGAAATAACTTGTAAGTTATAAATGAGAGAGTCATTTTACAGTTAAAGACATTTAACTTAAAATATATTTTTACCATATCATATTACTCTTAATTTCAAGTTTTGCAGTAAACTCTTGTAAGAACTTACATCTTTAAGAAAAAAATTATTTCTTTATATTAAAGATGTTCTTGTGTGGTGATTGAAACACCTACCAAAATTAAATATATTATTAAATAATTATATGTATAAATAATTATAATAATAATTATTATTATTAGAAAGTGTAAGATAAATAATTCTTAAAATAAGATAAAATTATTATAAAATAATTATTATTTAAAATAAAAACAACTAATACGAGACATATATATATATATATATATATTTTTTTTTTTAAATTATATTAAAAAGTTTTGATGTTAATTTTTTTAAAATCTAAAAATTCTAACCAAATTTTTTAGTTTTACCAATTTTATTTTGATTAAATTAAAATTTAATTATTTAAAAAAGACGAACTAATTTTTAAACTCAAGGAAAATAATACTTTGATAACCCAAATACATACAATTTTTATAAATAACTCTTTTTTAATATTATAATAATAGTTTTACTTTATTTTTATTTTTATTAAATCATTTTATAAATTATTATATTAATAAAAGTAAGTTGTTGAAAGGTTATATGGTTTGTAGTTGTCAAAATATCACCACTCCCGATTAAATCAATTTCATTTTCAAAAGAAAAAACTCTCTCACTCAAAATTCTAAATGTATTTTTATTAACAATGAATCTAGAAGAGATGCAACACCCACTTACCATAGTCGACTATGTTATATATTTTAATTAGTTTTATTTAAACTATTTTCATAATCAATTATGAGATCATTATAACATCAAAGAAATGATTATAACAAATTACTATTTATAAGCAGTCCAGTTTAGAATTTTTGTGATTTCCCTCTTGTTAATGTCAGCATATTTGAAGAATAATATCTCTACAAGAAAATCATTTAAAACATGTGCAATTTTATTCTTCATAAATTAAGTTAATTTAAATACAAAATCATTTTGCATGTCAATAATGTGGTGTGGCAAAAGCAATAACAAGTTAAGGAAAGAGTGTATTCTAGAATTAGTAGCTGCAAAATGATTGTACTATGATGTTTTGCACTCGTACTAATGTGTCCTTTTCTAAACAAACATCATGAGCAGCACCAGAATGTCTGTTATCTGTCATGAATCATTCAACAGTGATGATACATGACATCATTTTATTTACCTATTTGCAAATTAAAAAGAAAAGTAAAATTTAAACTGAAATTAAAAAATACAAATGCACCAGCCGGGAATCGAACCCGGGTCTGTACCGTGGCAGGGTACTATTCTACCACTAGACCACTGGTGCGCTTGTTCATCTTTTTCATATGATATTTTATTTAAATATTAAAAATTACAAATAAGAATAAATATTTATCCCTTCATAATATAAAAGATTTTATATCGTTATTTAATTACAAATTCTCATGAAATTATAATGCTTTACCTGATATAAGTCGTTCTAGAGGATTCAAATGTAACTTTTGATTGTTGATTTTGCATATATATATATATATATATATATATATATATATATATATATATATATATATATATATATATATATATATATATTATTTAAGCATGTATTTATTTATTGGTGGATTGATTTTCTACTCATTTAACTAATTTTTCATCACAACGAGAACCTAGAATGTAAATATAATTTAATTATGATCCTATAAGTGAAGTAAATATGTAAAAAAGACTTAGTGTGGGTACTTATTTTATATTTTATTACTATAATACTTTTCAGAATCTATTTTATATATATAAAAAAAAAGATAAAAAGGCTTGAGACTTATCTACGTGTTTTTATTCCATTCATTATGTTTTGTTTATGCAATGTGAAGAAGAAAAGCACATTTCATTAAAGACAAATTTGCAAATAATGAGAAAACCTTTTGAAACCCTAAATAATCCCTATCGCACGAGGCAACATGACCCATTAATCTCTCTACCTCTTAAATTCACTTTTTCATCCATGTCCAAATGTGTTTGTCATCATTTATTTTATTGTGTTGCTCATTGGCATCATGCAAATATTTGTTTGTCATTTTTTAAGTGAATATTTTTCTTCATTAAAAAGACAAGAGTTACTATTGTTTGTGCCAAATAAATATTGAGTTGAAGTTTAATTTAATGTAATGTTTTATATTTTAAATTTGTAATAAAACATTATGTACATTATATTTGATATTTATAGAATTAACGGGTGAAAATAAAAGACAAATTTAATTTAAAAGAGGCGTGAATCCTTGTTTCTTCCTCCTGAAATTAAATAAATAAAATAAAACAAAAGAGAGGGGGCATAAGATAAATAATAAATAATATAAAATAAAACAAAACAAAACAAACGTTGTTTACAACTACGAGGAATAGGAATAGTAGGATCCCAAGGGGAGGGTAGAAGCGTAAAATGTGAAAAAGAAACACCGAGAATCACAGAGATAGTGGTTGGTTGGTTTGGGTTCTCCTTCTTCCTTCTTCTTCTTCCCTCTTCTTTCTTTTTCTTACCGTCTCCTCTCACCACACAAACCAAACCTCTCTCCACACTCCACCCTCACTCCCTCTACGGGTCAATGACCCAGACCCGAAAGCCCACCAAGCCCAGCCCCAAGCCCCGACAGGCTCAAAACCCTTCCTTCTCCACCACCGGCATGAAACTCATCGTCCCTCTCCAGGGCGTCGTCCAGGGCCGCGGAGGTCTTCTCCTCGGAACCCTCGTCCCCTGCGCCCTCTTCTACTTCTTCCAGCTCTACCTCAAACGACGCCGTTCCAACTTCTCTCCTCCCTCCCCCTCCTCTGAACCCACCCTCCCCCGAACCTCCTCTCGCTCCAGTTTGTCCACGCGTGGCGCCATTTCCCGGGTTCGTCTCTCCAAGCTCGCCACGCAGATTTCCCGGCCCGAAGACTCCCTCTACTACGTCGGCTTGGAGAGGGTTTCGCGAGATCCCTACCACGCCGTCGAGAATCCCCATGGGATTATTCAGTTGGGGTTGTCGGATAACAAGGTTGGTTACTCACAAATTAAGATTTTTACAGAGAGTTAATAGAACTCGATTATGTTCGATGTGGATGAGAGTTAGTATTACATTCTTTTAGATATTTTTTTCTCTTGTTGATTGGAATTTGAAAAATTATGGGTGTTACATCTTATTTGATGACTCTTGCCACTCTCTATTGTGTCTTTAATAAATTTAACTGATTTTATAGTGTGTTGCCTGAATTTCTCTTCTTGGTTTTATGGGTGTGTTGCTAATGTTGTTGTTGTTATTTGTTGAGGTGAGTGCAGCTGTGCTTCGATTTGATAGGGGATTGGGTGGCGCGGAACTTGGAGGGGACGATGAGTGGCGGTGTTGGTTTGGGCATCAACGGGATTGCGCCGTATCAGACGTTTGATGGGGTGATGGAATTGAAAATGGTAAGAGGTTTTTGCTTCATAGTGTTAGTGGTAATGCTACTAGTGCTGCTTCTGGTGGTTTCTTGTTTGTTTGGTTCTTGTGCGTTGGTTCGGGACCACAATGTCCGGGCTAATCTCCATGTGACATGTAACAGATTTTATTAACTGTTTTTCCTACATTGAAAAACTTGGTTACGAGTCAAGTGGAAATTGACAGGGGCCGTAGATACAAAGTAGGTCTGGGCCATGCATGCAATAATTTCTCAGTATTGGGGGAGTGGAGTAGAGTGTTTGAATTCACTTGTTCTAAGGGGAATTTGCATGTGTTCTGAAAACGTGTGCGTTCTCATTCTGTGTTGTTGTTTAAGGTTTTGGGGATTGGTTCGTATTTGTTGTGACTTGTGTGTGAGGTAGAAAGATTTGGAAATTTTTGGAATTGGTCACATAGCCCGAAAGATGTAAAGTATCATTTCCATTCCTGAAAAAGGAAAATTGCAATTGGTTTCAGTAAGGGACTAAATTGACATAAAAGTCTAATGCGACTTATCCTAAACCTTTAAAGGGTCTAATTAGTGTTTTACACTGTTTGCTGTCATTTTATCATGATATAATGGAAATGCAATCGTTTAGGTAGGACTGTAGGAGAGTGAGACAGGTGGCATAGTGTGATGTGAACCAATTATTCCAAAAGTTAAAACTGTTAGGCAACAATATATTGGCAGGGTTTTATAGCAGTTCTAACACAATCCCTTGCCTTGCCCAAGAGGTTTTCACCATGGAATGTGAATAATGCGCAGGCCTACTTATGCTTGATTTCAATTACAACTTTATATTTAAGAGGCATGGGATCACTAAGGATCCAACTCTAGCCCACTTGTTTATAGAGGCTTTGTCATGACCAGCCATTCCAAGAGTTTAATTTGACAGGCGAAGGAATACAAATGGCCATAGAGCATTCTAACATAATGGAGGATTGGAAATGTTCTAATGACAGATGTTATCGTTACAACCCATCTTGAAGCTGGTGCCAGTTGAGTTACAAGCTTGTAAGCTGATAGGTTTTGATTTAACTATTGTTAATTATTGTGTATCTTGCTACTCAATAATTTTAAATTAAGACATCAAGCTTTTAGAATCCCTAACCTTGATTGTCAAAACACAAACTGGAAGATTTAGTGCATGATTGGAAAAAGTTGTTTTTGAATGAAAGGACGATTACAAAATGATAAGCCAATATTACCTCCATATTTACTGCATGGGAAAGTGTGATTGTCTATTTGAAGCACCAAATTCACCCTCAAGTGAAAAAAAAATCATGGAATTAATCCAGAATATGTAGTACATATTACAGAACACTAACATGGTTGTAAACTTAACAAGAAATCTCCTTCAAACAAACTTAAGTAATTTAACACAATTCTGTCACATCTTATTTAATAACTAACTACCCACCTCTGACTGCAGTAAAACACATCTCATGGCTATCCTACAGTAACTAAATACACATAACTGCCACAAAACGCATCACATAACTGTCATTTCTGGATCATTACATTTCAAATTTCTTCTCCTTTTGAGATACGTGATAACTGTATGCTTTTGAAACTAGTTACCTTTTCCATAGTGCTGTAAACAAGCATTTGTGGTCTTAATTGCAGTTATTTGTTGTTTTAAAGGTTAAAATTGAAAAGTTATCCTTTTTGGTTGTTTGGTAATATATGATAGTGGATTTGTCTATAAATTGGATACTGTTCTTTTATTATCTTTGGCAAATTTAGGTCATTGAAGGTCATGCTGTTGTTTTGTTTATCCATTTAACTTTTGTTGTGCTTTAATTTTTCAGGCCTTGTCAGATTTTATGCATCACGTGATGGGGGGATCAGTGAAATTTGACCCATCTAATATGGTACTAACAGCTGGAGCAACTCCTGCAATTGAGATATTGTCCTTCTGTTTGGCAGACCATGGGAATGCATTCCTTGTCCCTACACCATATTATCCAGGGTAATTGAAGACACACTTTCTTGAGCACCCTTTTATAATTTCTTATGCTAATTTAAAAGGAACTGTGCAGCTTTGACAGGGATGTAAGATGGCGTCCAGGGGTAGACCTAATACCTGTTCACTGTCGTAGTACTGACAATTTCAACCTTAATATCACTGCTTTAGAACAAGCATTTAGTCAAGCAAGAAAACGAGGAGACAAAGTTCGTGGAATTCTAATTTCCAATCCTTCAAATCCCGCTGGCAATATTATGACACAAGACATGCTTTACAGTCTTCTGGACTTTGCTGAAGAAAAAAACCTTCATATCATTGCCGATGAAGTATTTGCAGGCTCCACATTTGGAAGTGAGAAGTTTGTGAGCCTAGCCGAAATTCTTGATTCAGATATAGACAAGAGTCGGTTTCATATAGTATATGGCCTGTCAAAAGACCTCTCTCTTGCCGGCTTTAGAGTTGGGGTTATATGTTCATTCAATGAGAGTGTTTTGGCTGCTGCCAAGAAGTTGACTAGATTTTCCTCTATATCTGCTCCAACGCAGAGGTTAGTTACTTCAATGCTTTCAGATAAAAGATTTATTCGGGAGTATTTAGAAACCAACCGGAAAAGAATACGACAAGTGCATGATGAATTTGTGGATTGTTTAAGTAAACTAGGAATCGAGTGTGCCAAGAGCAGTGCTGGTATGTTCTGTTGGGCTAATATGAGTGGATTAATCCGACCCTATAGTGAAAAAGGGGAAATTGAGTTGTGGGAGAAGTTTTTAAGTATTGCTAAGATCAATATAACTCCTGGATCAGCCTGCCATTGCATAGAACCAGGATGGTTTCGAATTTGTTTTACTAATATAGAATTAGAGGAGATTCCTCTGGTTATTGAACGAATTAGGAGAGTTGTTGAAAGTTGTAATTCTTCTAGTTGAAGTTTCATTATTTTCGTTGACATTTACAGTTAGTGCCTTATGTTGCAGTTTAAATTTTTTGGAAAGAAATATACATCTCTAGTCATCAAGTTCAGGTGTCTTGCGGAAACCTTTTTTTTTTAATTGCTGGAGAAATACTCTCTTATAATGCAAAATCTCAACAGAGTAAAATCAAAGTTTGCAACTAGAGATTGGTCTAGAATAAAGTTAGTTTTAAGATTAGTTTTGGCCTGGGAATGTACCCCTTGGCTTTCCTTCAATCAACCTACCTCGGGCAGTTTCAGTCTTGGAAAGAACTAATTCATCAGTAGTCCTTCATTATACTTCTGGTTTTTTTAAGGTACAACTCCAAGAGTTGTTTTCGTATGATGAGGCAGGAAGTGTAAAAATTGGTTTGAGATGTACTTTTGATCAATCAATGGTATATCCTTGTGACTGTCATTGAAAAGGAATTAATTTTTATATGAATTTCACAATTCTTCACGAAATGTACACAACTTAATGTTTCATGTTCATGTTTATTATCATGGTTATATGTCAAATATTTAGCAACCAACACTAAGATGCAACCTAACAAGAATATTATGCCTCAGACTGATTATCAATGAATTATTGCCAAAAGACAACAAATAATTTCAGTTTGAAAGATAAAGGATGATGAGACAGAAGATATCCGAAACCTCTTGAAATAGTCAATTGCAAATCAATGACCCATAATTCAGCATTGAGTATGAAAGAAATACCATTAAGCAAGCCAATTCAGCAACAGTCAAATGAACTTCATAATCATGCACCCCTTTATCTCAGTCATAATGAGACAACCAATATTTGGAAGCCATTCATCAATCCAAAACCGGATTGTGTTACCATTTCCCAATCTGCAGGAAATAGATGACAAAACTGTGCACACTACATTGCGTTCTTGGAATTTTACGTCGAGAATCTGTGGTAAATAATTTTGTTAAAAACATTGATCAAGGCAAAGTTTTTTTCATTAAGGATTTTTTTAATGTGTTTTTACTGGCACTTTGTGTAAGCATAATATGTTTTCTTCAATAAGAAAAATTAAAATTATTAAATATTTTGTTTGTTGCAAAGTCAAGAAGGATATTAATGTTATTCATGTTAACTAGCTTCCATAAGTTGTTGGATAGCATTAATGATGCACATGCATAATTTAGCATATGGAAACATCTTTTATAATCATGAAATGAAGACTATGACTTGTTTCATTGTTCTCTTCATTTTGGTTCTATTTTTGAAACTGAAGTTAAAAGTGTTAGGAACACTTTCAGATTTATTAATTCAAAAGTTTTCTAAATTTATCATTCCAGAACTTAAAAAATATAAATTTTTATATATTCCGTTTAATCTGGACCATGAAAAATATATTATTATTCCAAATCAATGTATCTGAAACTTTTCAGAATATTTATCCAAGCCAGTCCATAATACTTTTTCAGATTACCAATTTTGTTAAATAAGGTATATGAAGAATGAACCTAAGAGCTATCTATGCTATTGAGTTTGTTTATCAATAAACTGAAGTCATAACCCATTTTATACCATCATCTAACATGTTCATTATACTGTCTCTTTCATAGTTTAATATAGAATATACTGAACAACAAATCAAGATATGGATTTTATACTAATTATGTTATTTAATATATTAATATAGTTTCTTATTTATATGATCTATTATAAAACATTTTTTTTCAATGTCTTACTTTATTATGATTTTAATTAAGATCATCTAGAATTTGTACCATCTTTAGTTATAAATACCCTTTATGTTTTTCTTCGAATATATGCAAAATCATATATCAATCTATTTTATACGCATGTTCAAACCAAGTGAAACATGTTGTTTGTAGTTTAAAAAAGAAAAAAAAGAGTGAAACATGTTTCCATAGTTCTTGTAGCTTCTTCTATGGTTCTGTTCTGCTACAAACAAGGAATGCTTAATGTTTACCACTAGAAGGAAATGTAATTAAATTACAATGAAATTTAAATTTAATGTTAATTTTTGGTAAATGTGAGTTGAGATGAAGTTTAAAGTTGTATGAACCCACTCATGGTTTGGCCCATTTTAATCAACCTGTGACCACCACATGGGGCAAAAACTCTCAAATGCATTGAGAACCTCTTCACATAGATCTCAAGACAAGTGCCCTTCACAATGTAGCAATAAAGTCAATGGTTTTCATAAACATGACATTATAATAAAATAAAATTAAAAAAGAAAAATTGGTGAAAGTTTGAATAAAATAAGCTCATTTTGATTAAGTAATAAAGAGTGGCTGGCTAAATAGAAGAGATAGAAAGAAATAGAAATAGTTGTGTTGGTTCATGATGTTGAGTAGGGTGTAATGGTAATAAATATTGAAAGGGGGGTCATATTCATTGGAAACTTGAACTAATTGGACCACTTGTTATTTGCAAACTGAAAGGAAGATGCAGAAAAGGAAATTAAGAAAATACCAACAAGTTGAGGGTAAAAAATAAGATTTTGTCCCCTTTACATGTATTTTTTTAATAAAAAAAAAAGGTGTTAGTCACATTAATTTTTTTTAACATGTTTTGGTACCCTAATCTTGCTACAAACAAGTTTCTTTCTGCTGCCTTATTATTTTTTTTATTGCACTGTTACGATTTAAAAATTGAACCTTTGGCGATAAAGGTCTCTGAAATCTCTATCAGTGGTATTTGGCTCTGAACAAATCTATTTTGTAGCCAATAAAATTATGTTCTCGTATTCCTAATTTTCTATCACATATTCGAATGTCCACTTCAAGAGTGTTATAAGGTAGGTTGGAGAAAATTCAACCCAATCTTATTATTAAATTTGAAAGTTACTTATGTTTTGTATTTTTGCTACTTAATTTTAAAAATTGGGAAAAGAAAAATCCGGGCTGTATCTCGTAAATATAAAAATACGTCACTTTTATTTTAATTTTTTCTTTTGAGAAATGAAAATGTCTCCAAATTTATTGTAATAATATTATTAGAATTATTATTTTTTACTTATATTTGTATTATGAAGTTTTTGTCCATCATCATTTTATTCTTAAAATATATCTATTATAAACAGAAATATATATATATATATATATATATATATATATATATATATATAAATTACTCTTTAATTTCTATTCCTAAATATCGTTAAATTAAAAAATAATAATAATAATTTTATAAGTTTTATATATATTTTTTTAATTAGTTAATGTTAAACTATTTAACATTTATTAAAAATAAACAAGTGATTTTACTATGGGCTACTCTTAACAGATTATCATTACATGACTATTTATACATATTAAATTTCAATGATTAAATTATTAAAATTTTGTTAGAGAATTTTAGACAGAGAAGAGAAAATGTCCCATTTATACAAAAATCTATATTTATTTTTCTTTAAAGAGAGATAAGTGAAGACTATAAATTATAATTCCATGCGACAAATTCTTTAAGGTTTAGTATCCACTATGCTGATCAACACAGTTAAATTTAATTAATAATATAAAATAAAATAATGTATAAAAAATACTCCAACAAAATCACCTGATTCCCCCATGAGATATGCAGAAAAAAAAATGCATAATTAAAGTGTAAATTTGATTAATACTGTAATTTAATAGTATAGGGTCCACTCTGATCTGATTAATGTTTAATGAACTTAACTCAATCAAAGATATGTGAGGATTGATGATAATATATAATCAGTAGTTTATTACTCACCACATGAACAGCATAGAACTGAGTCTGTTGCCATTAGAACAGCCACAAAAATCAACATTAATAAATTGATTAAACCCCACTAAGTAGCAGTCGATGATAAAATTAATTATGACACGATAGGAATATTTCCACATGATTATAGAGGGTTTATATGAATCATCAAAGCTCTTGCATTTCTTGGAGATTAACTCAAAATTAATATATCATTTACATAATACAGTCCCGGGTCAGAAGCAAATTACATAACCTCAAGGATCTGAACTTATCTCAATCAACTACCTAAAATCAACCACCATAAAATTCAGAGAGGCAAAATTAGAACCCTCGTTAAGGCACTTGAGAAGTTCATGATCAAGGTTTTAAATTATAGTTTCATCATGATCTTTGATGCTGTGAGAAATTACAGACAAATCCAAAAATTTTGATGGAGCATTTTTTAAAAGCTTGATCATGAGGTTTAAGAAAAGAAGAGTATAAGAAAAATTAAGGAAGAAATTCTTTTGTCTCCTTAGCTGGGCTTGGGCAAGCTTAAGAAGCCATTATTAAATTTGGTACATTCAAACAATGCCTTAGCTGTCATTTCCCTCTCAAACCTCCAAACATAGTTCAACCCCACAAGCAGCTCAGTGATGGCAGCTTCTGTCTTCTCCTTGTTTGCAAAGAACAAAGTCTGCAACAACAACACATTTGTCTTTGGTACCAAGTTTTGCTGCTCATAGCTCCTCTCACTGTGCCACTTGATCATGTTATGTGCCAAAGGTGCCAACCAACCCAGAATCCTCCCCAATGCATCTCTCCATTCTCCAGCCAGCACATGATCATCACATGCAGAAAATCCCACCCCTCTCAACCTTGCCCTCAAAGATGACCTTATGCTACTTGGCAACATCCCATACAAATCATCCCTAGCATCCACCCCAACCAACTGGGGTGACTTTACCATCTTCTCCAACACCATCACCAAGTTTGCATAGTGCAAGGCCAAAGCTGAAGCACCCAAAGTATCACTATCACCATTACCCTTCAACTTCAACACCTTGCAATTAGACTCAAAAAACCCATTTCCCAAATCCTCATTTTCCTCACCAAGTTTTGTGCTTTTCAATGGCCCAGAAACAAAGGAACAAGAATTGGAAATAGGGTTTTGGTGATCAGAGGGATAAACGGAAGACAAACTACGCGACAAAAAGGGAACACTACTGTGTCCGATTCCGAAGACAACCTTAATCCGCGCTAACACAGTGAAAACGAACCTTGCTAACAACAGAACAACGCCATCGAAGTTTTTGTTCCATAACGAACGTTCCTTCAAGTTCTTCACCTCTTGTTTCTGCCAGAAAATCTTCTGCTGAAGATCGCTGAGTTTTTTGTGAGAGGAAGAGGGTTCGGTGGCGGCGTTGTCAGCGTTGAGAACCGCTTTTTTGAACGCGCTTTCGAGGAGAGTGAGAGCGTCGATTTCTTTGTGAAGCGTTGCCGTGAGAGTCACGTAATGTTGCAACTTTCTGTGTTTGGTTTCGATGTCTTTGGGGGTGGTGAGGGTCCATGCGTGCGGGTCGAGGCCCGAGTTGGCGAACTCGGTGAAGACTCGGTGGAAGGATCGGAGAGAAGGGTCGTGGCAGTTGTTGCTCAGTCGGGAGACCGAGTCGGCGACGAGTCGGAGCGAGTCAGCGAACTCGGCCACGGCGAGGCTTAGAAGAAAAGACTCGTCGTTGGAGATGAGCTTGCGCACGCCTTCCAGCGTGACGGCGTCGTTTCGGAGGCGAACGACGTTGGCGTCGGAGAGGGACTGCCAGAGGTGGAGGAGCTTGGACATCACGTTCGCGATCTCGAATGACAAAACGGCAACGTGTTTTGGCTTCGACGATGAAAACGACGGTTTCTTCGTGAGGCTGTGCGACAGCGCCGTTTTGACCTTGATGAGCCAGGTTTCGAGGGCCATGGAAAGTTTATATTTTGGTTTGATGGGGTTGGATGAGATTGAGTTTGGTGAAATGGGTCGTGGCTTTTTCTTGGTGAGTATGTGGGTATCGATGGGTTTGAGGTTGAACTAGGTGGTGAGTACCATGTGTTTGTGAATATGCACGAAAGAGAAAAGAGAGAAATACTTGATAGATTGGTGGTGTTAGTCTACAGAGAGAGAGAGAGAGAGAGAGGGAGAGAGAGAAGGATGAAGGAGATAGTGATATTAGAATGTGTGAGGTGAAGACGTAATTAGAAAGAGAGGGGGTGAGAGTTAAGTGTTGTTAAAGTATTTAAAGTTCAGACCCACATGCAGTTTGTAGTGGCTGAGTGTGGTAGATTGTGGCGTCAGAGGGTTGGTTTATTGTCAATTCTTGTTAGGATTCAGTCGCTCCAAAAGCGCGTAGAAGCTTCACTCATGATGAAGCTGTTTGCTTTGTGAAGGTGTTTAAGATGTAGGGAATGGGGGTTATGCACTTTGGTTTGTGTATTTATACAGCTTTTTTGGGTTTAAAAAAGGCTTCTGGCTGGTGTATTATTGATTTCTTAGTTGGTAAAAGAGACCTTTTCTGTTGTGTTTGGATGCACAGAAACGCTTTTTCATAGATGCTGCTATATTTTATCAGGAGAGAGGGCCATGTAATTATTGGATCTTTCTTTTTTGGAATTTTATATTTTTTGTTCATATTGATTTGTTTGTTTCCTTCCTATGATTAATTAACTGCCTTAATTAAGAATTTATTTTCTCATTAGCTAGACTCTCACATGCACCATGCTATCCAGTGAAAAAATGAAAAAGAAAGAAAGAAAGAAAAGTAACAGAAAACTTGACAGTTCAGTAATCTCCTATTAGTTATGATTAGCACTAGAATGCTCTGACTAAATAATTTCAGTCTTCGTCGGTCCAAAGATCCCTAAATAATTCCGTTGACTGGTATTTTGCATCTTAATTTATACTCAAGTACTCTAAGTTCATCCTATTTTAGTGAATTGAGCATTATCAATATTATGAAAGCATGATGGAAAATAATTACATATCCGATAAATATGCACTTTAAATTCCACTGCAATTCACTATTTCTTATTTTGGCGTACAAAGTATGACATCCAAAAAAGTTTTATGTTAGAATGTTTTGCGTTCGAAACACTGTTGGAACAGATGAAATTATTATATGGCAAACAAGTAATGTCAACTGTCAGAAAGCAATGCTTAGTGTGCATAATCGATCAAGTTTGACTTGGAATAGTTAATGAGGGTCAGGAAGCAATAAAAACACATAGATAGTGGCGTACGCCTAAAAGAATGATACATTCAGAATAGCATACACATAGTGCAGATATTTGGTGGTGGAAATATAAAGAAAACTCCTCCACTAGCTCACTCATTCACATCACATGGCTAGTGGGAAGAGTGTGTTGGTTGGTCAGGTTGATAGAAATATTTGGGACTCATCAAATGCTCCCAAGATTTTTCCATCTATGATGTATTTTTTAGTATAATTTGGAGATCTTGGTGATGAAAGTAACAACGCATGTATATTACAGTGAAGGCACTCTGAAAGGTGATGAGAAAAATCTACTAAGTTCTTATCAAAATAAATTATCTGCAGAGTTAATTTTGTTTGTTTCTAACCTTTGCCTTGTCTTTAGCCAACCAATGGAGGGGCAGTGAAGGATTTCTATGCTAAGTTGTAGGAAAATCAATAGGCATTATGATCCCATTTTTCATTGATATTGATGCCTTTAGAGAAAGCATATGCTTCCATCTTTGTTTTAACAAATGGTGAATAAATTTTTTCTTTTGGTCCAAGAAAGACAGCCTGGTATGCTAGTTCTATTATTTTATCCATTCACTCACCCTTCTGCACATGGGACAAATAATATATATGGTAAAATCAGAAGAACCTCAGGAACATATTATTGGATATATAACAGAACTATATTTGTTCATTTAAACACTTTTTTTTTTCTTTCTAATTTTGGTGCATAAAAATTTATTGAAGGAAGGTTCGTTTTCATGCAAGGTTAGTAAACAAATCTCAGATAAGTTTCATAAGAAAAAAAAAAGAAAAATCAACCCTATGTGTGGTTTTCATCTTAATATATGCATGTCCAATTTGGCCTCTCCATTATTCGAAGGGATAGAGGAAATAGTTGCAGAGTGCATGTAATATATATGTATCTGAGTTTATGTGGCCGGAAGCACAGGGATATGCAATGAAACAACAACAAAGTTAAGTTTGCTAAATCCTAGAGAAATATATATTTCTTCAAGAAAATTTTGGAAAAAGAAGCCTCCTAATCAATCTTCGGTATTCTCATATTATTGACTGCACCTGGAAACATAACACATGTCATGTGAAGAATGGCTGCATATATGATCCCACTGTGATCCTAAACTTAAAAGCTTTATCATCACCTAAGTAACTTGGTCAATCAGCATTCAAGACAACAGCAACTAAATGCAAGATAAGTGTTTGAAAGACAAAGAAGATGGATTCGAGTTTGTCTTTTTGTGTGTGTGCAATGAACCAGCACTCCATTTTGCAAAATCTAGGAAGATTAGATTCTTCACCGACTCAGCAAACCAAGTACCTAAGTACATGTTGATGAAATATATCAGCCAATGACATAAACATGTAGTTTCAATCATATACAATTAATGGCACAGTAACAATGACCAGACCATATCAGACAATCCCCGCAAAAAGTGTCGCGGAGGATTTATTCTTGGGTGGGGATCAACGAAACTTCACATTTTTTCATATATTTCATGTGCAATGCAGTATATAGGGTTCTTACAAGTTATTGGGATCCGAGAAACTTGAACCTAAAATAAAAAAATAATGATTTATTAAGATCTTAACAGCATGCATTTTAATTAAAGAAAAACTTGAAAACTTTTTAGCCACTCTTACAGGTCTTGTTAGGGTAGGAAACTAAACTATTTAACAATCATGTTTGATCAAATACAACATTCAAATCCTTACCAAGTGAGTTCGGTTTCTGTTTATCAAATGTTCGACCAAATACACAAAACAATTTTTTTTTTTTTTGTATTTATGGAATTTTTAAAATTTTGATTGAATGAGAAAAAATATATATATAAATTATCGTTATTATCTTCATCTATATGAAATCCACCTACCAAACAATACACAATGTTATATATGTTGTTTATGTGTAGAGGAAGTGAAATAAGCTTTTAGACTTGGAATGAATGAATGAATGAGACAAGCTCGCACGTAACAGTGACTCAAACCAACATTTTTAATGGGAATGGGACATTTCTGTGTGCTGCCGGTTCAAATTCACAAACGATGTTTAAAAAATTATTTAAATTTTCCATATTTTTAAGAATTATGACATTGCTATACATTTTCAGAATTGAAATTTAGTTGATCGGATTATTCAACTTATTAAGTATATAATCTTAGAATTTAGTTAATAAAATTTAAAAAATTGTTAAAATAATCTTATTTTAATAAAAAAATTATGTTGTATAATAAATGCTTATTAAAAAAGCATTGAATATATCCTTGTTGCTTAAGAAATGTTTGAATAAAGGGGTGATGATTTTGGATGATAAAGTTTTATTTTTTGAGAATTAAGAGCAGAAGATGATGTCACTGAGATGGGGACACCAAATATTCATAGCAGAAAGGTTTTCAAGCATTTCAACCACACTTTCGGCTCAATCAATTTTCATTCATTAGTCACTAAACAAAATTAATTAGTTTATTAATTAACCATTATCATTATAGAGTTTGGGAGTTAACTCTTCAATTAATTTACTAATCAACTACTTTTTAGCATGTTCTTCAATAATTCTTCAATCTCCACTACCTCAATAAAATTCTTATTTAATAAAGTAAATTGTAGATTTTTTTTTCATTATTCGTGCGGATGTAATAAAACTTTTTTTTTTTCGTTTGACTATAACTATAATAGAATAAAGTTGTAGAAATTGTTCAACCCTTTTCACCTTATTACTTTAATTTAGAACAATTCCGTGTTATTTAAGCATATTATAGAGCAAGGATATGTAGAGTAGACAAAATGTTAAATTTTGTAGCAAACTATGAAAACATTTTCAATTCATATGTTGAAGTTGACCTATGTAATTTGTTTTTCTAGCTCTAATAATGGCTGTTCTTGCATATTTATTTATGATTATTATATTAATTATTTCCATGTTAACTTTATAATTCAACATTATATTTTAAATATTATTAATTTTTAGTGTTGGGTGGTTTTTGTTATAAGATTTATTCCCCTAAAAATACTTCAGTAAATTATTAAAAATATTTACAAATAATAATAATAATAATAATAATAATAATAATAATTATTATTATTATTATTATTATTATTATTATTGGAGTAAAGTGATATAAGATTTTTAGATCTATTAAACCATCTATTTAATCGAATTTAAAGTATAATTGTAATTTATAATATTTTAATATTAATATTTCAAGTTTATGAAATTGTTAAAATTACTACATTTAAAAACTATTATGAGATTTTGTGTATAATAGTTATATCTCAATAAGATTGAGAGAAAAATAATTTACAAGTAATCTTAATTTTTAAATAATACGACATTTCAAATATAATAAATTATATTATAATAAAATATTCATAATTAACTTATTATTTAAGATAATTTGTTGAGAGTATTATTCTTTAAAAATAAATTTAATCAATTGATGAAAAATAGTATTTATAGACTATTTTTTAGTCTTAACTGCGAAGTAAGTATATATCAAAATATTATCTATATATTTATATGTTTAATAAATTTGAGTATTTATTAATGAAATGGTTTGTTATTAAGAATAATTAAGAAAATAATTATATAATTAAGCATTGCTTTTGGATATTAAAGGAATATCACAACATGGCTTATTGGTGTTCATCTTGGATTTGAGTTGTATTCATGTTCATATATATGTAGTTCGTAATAAAAAGGGAAAA